GTCCGATTAATATTTCTAAATATTAATTGTATCAGTTAAAGTGCGAATCGCTAGTAAACATATGTAATTAATTTAACGACTATTAATGGTATTATTTTATTAAACTGTAATAACCATTAATGTTAAATTAATTAGTGCTTGGTTTTATTCATATAAATAACCCATTATATATTATGGAATATTTATACTGTTAATCGTATATAAACCATAATTATTATGCTGTGTGCATTTCAGGAAATAAATGGACTGTTTAATTATGTCACATTTATATTATATGGATGAGTTGCCATGTAGAATCATGTGAGCTGGCTAATAAGTGTAGACTCATTTATACCTTATGCATTCGTTGCGATAGACAGATGTGTGGCTGTCGGGGTATGTGGTTTAATATTATTGGCATGTGTTGCCTAATTGACATACTCGGTATATTTATTAATATTGTTGGCATGTGTTGCCTAATTGATATGCTCAGTATATTCATCAGTACTTTGAGAGGTGTTATCACTGTGTAGTTCGTTATAGTCTGTGTTGTCAGTACCGTGCACCGTGTATAATAGCTGATTTCCCGGGTAGGGAAAGGCGACACTTGACCACCTAGTGTGAGTCTAAGTGATCACCGTCTATTCTGGTTGAGGTCATGTTATACATCGGATAGTTCCCGTAGGATGTATGCAGATATAGTACTCATCCGATTCATAATGATTAATTTATTTGATTCTCTGATTTGGGTCATAGTAGAGAGGACTTGCTCGTGGGGTTGACCCACCATTGTTGTTATTTCAGGATACGGTCAGTATCCGTTTCAAGGTTGAGGTTAGCAGTGTGGGACCACCATCCGAACTCATCTACTCTTACGATCCAGTTCAGGATAGAAGTTTTATGTATTACTTCAGTTTCAGTTTTTATTTACTTTTGACGTTGAACTCTCGGGGTTATATTTAGGGATCCTTGACATAGGATTTCCAAGTTGTAATGAAGTACGGTATTAAATAAAGGATGGATGGATGTTGTATTATTTAGTGTTCCTTTCCTGTCTAAATTCTTTTATTATCATCATTTTGTATTCCATGCTTGTATATTGCCAATTGTTTTTGATATCCCTCGTTTTTCGTGTATAAGCCTGATCAACTTAGGCGTGGAAAATGTGGGGGTGTTACAAAGCTCCTCCCCAAAAAGTGTATCATATTCCTTATATAGGTAGGTCAAATACACCCTATGATGAGTTGTGGTCGTGCAAGGCATATTCTCCAATGATTGGGTGAAGGACGGAATAAATGAGCTGGACTTTAACTTTTTCTCGCTGGAGGAAGTTCGATCGATCGAACCTTAACTTGGATCGATCGAAGATGGGTTCGATCGATCGAACTGCATCTTGGATCGATCGAAGTGGTCTGACTCCTCCGGATAAGAACAAGGCTGAGATATTTCGAAGATATTTATGGGAAAAAGGACAAAAGTGGTTGGTAGGCGTACAACTGTGGATAAGATCAATCATTTGAATAGGACAAAATAGGGTTCGATCGATCGAAGGTGATGTTGGATCGATCGAACTTGGAATTTCAGCAAAGGCCAAGGTTGGATCTATCGAGAAGTACTGTGATCGATCATAGATGTTCGATCGATCGAACTCTAAGTTGGATCGATCGAACTTTTCAGCTGCACAACTTTGATTCCTTTTTGCTCCTTGCTTTCTCCACTTTGCTCCCTCCTTTGGTTTATCTCAGGATTACTTCAATTAAGCTCTTATTTGGCTGAGTTAGCTCAATTTTGGGATTAGTGCCTGAAAATATAAATAACACGTAATAAGTCTAAAACGGCAAAGTAAGATAGATAAAGGTACTAGAATGCTTAAGCTTAACGGGTTTAAATGCGCACTTTTCAGTACTCATCAGAATTCATGACAACAGTGGTGGTGGAAGACGTGAAATTTTGAACTGGGGCTGCAGAAGATAATATTGAGGGGCTTGAAGCAAGTAACCCATTATTTAGCCATGAATTATCGGCAGGGGCACCGAAGGAGAAAATGCTGCTTGTTGACGATGAATTCGATAAAGCAGAAGAAAATACTTTACCAGACTTTCCTGTTAAGTATCCAGCATTACGAGTATTCTTATCATCAAATTTTTCAGCCTCAGAAGTTTCTGAGACAGCATCAGTTGCACCAGAGGCAACATTGACAAGCTGCACATACATTAAGGAAAATCAGAAAATGCTCTAATTAATTAAAATTAGACAATGAAACCAAAAAAAAAAAAAAAAAAAGTTGGAGACCATATTTATCTTTTTCCCCTATTTTCCCCTTGGTATGGCTGTATTAAAAATAAATGGCTGGATCTTGTCCACTTCATGCGGAGATATCTCAGGCAACTGGAACAGACTATACCATCCAGCCGACCAGAACACAAGATTTTGGAATAGTAAACAAAACCACCAATAATCATCATCAATCCCTCCATATATCACACACACATCCACTTTTTTCTTTTCCTAACAATATTATAAGGGTTACTGCATATCTAGCTTTATTGCTTCCACTTTTACCAAAAATCCGAAAAAAGATACTTGCATATGTAACTAGGCACATTTAGACAATCATACTTATTTAATCAATGTATGTACTTGCAGCTTTCAACTGCAATTGAATTCTATAAATGCATTTAGTTTCAACATGTCTTCACACACAGTACCGTAGCACACCAGATTAAGTAATTTCTTCTGTCTTTTGGTTGAAGAGGATATTTTATATATATATATATATATATATATATATATATATTGATAAGTAGTTGAAGAGATTAAAAAAGCAAAAGAAAAGGAAAGTAAGGAAATGTACAAAAGATTATGAATGCTTTCTTAAAATCCCAGCATGCCCAAAAAAAACATCCCTATGCACATGAAGATTAAATATCACTCTTCCCTGAAAAAAGAGTGTACACATACCGTATGCATAAACAATATTCACTTACAGGCGAGGTAGTTAGAATCGGGATTCTACATAGAATCGACTAGAGGTCCATAGGATTGGAATTAAAGAATTGGATTGAGAATCGTAAGATTTTAAAAATATTAGAAAAGTAACTCAAACTAACTTTTTAAATCAAATATTTTTTATATAAGTAAATAATAAGGCTAAATAACCAATTCAGATACTAGCAAAATTAATTAACATTAAAAGATACTAAGACACGTGACAAACTTAAAATCAGTTTCTTGATTTTAACAAAAAATCAGCATAACAATGAAGATTTTAAAAATATTAGAAAAGTAACTCAAACTAACTTTTTAAATCAAATATTTTTTATATAAGTAAATAATAAGGCTAAATAACCAATTCAGACACTAGCAAAATTAATTAACATTAAAAGATACTAAGACACGTGACAAACTTAAAATTAGTTTCTTGATTTCAACAAAAAATCAGCATAACAATGAAGTAAAATCTCAAGAGGAAAAATTAAAGTAAAGCCTAATAGAGAGAGAAAATTACAATTTAGTTGAAAAGTATACTTTTTGGTTTTTTTTTTTTTTTTGAAAGGAACAAAATAAAGATAGAAAGAACAACGAAAAAAAAAAAAAAATGTAGTCGTTTTTTTATTTTTGTTTCAGAATTGACAAAGAATAGGTGAAAAAATAAAATTCTTTTTGTTCCTTGTACTGGAAAAGAAAGAAGAAAAGAGAAATTAAGAAGAAAAAAAACAAAATATAAGAATTTTTCGAAATTTTGAACAATACCTTTGAAATTAAGAGTTGAACGTCTCTACATTTGACGTTTGTTTCTTTGTTTTTCTGAATTTTTTTTTTTTTTTTTTTTTTTATCTTATCAAAAAAATCAAAAAATTTAATGCAATTAGGCTAAAGAGTTAGATTTTATATTTAAAATGATTAAATTTATTAGTCCAAAATTAATTGTAGGCCCAAATAAATCCGGAAAAAGAACAAATTAACACAATTTAGTAGAATTGGTCGGATCGTAAGATCCTATGCGATTCTACAATCCTACTTCAGATTCTACAGATACTAGTGAAATTCTACTTCCCAAAGATTTTGGATAGGATCGGAATCGGGATCGTTTTTGCAATGTGGGATCGTAGAATTGTAAGATTCAAAAATCCAGGATTGGGATTTTAACAACTATGCTTACAGTTTGACAAATTGTCGAACATTAGTAGGTATAAAACATCCTACATGGTCTGAGTTTTCTTTTCTACGCACTAAAGTTAAATATCACTCTTTCCTGAAAATAGAGCGTGCACGGTATGTATGCATATAAAGAGTTTGCACAGTACGTATGCATAAATAGTATTCACTTATGGGAAATATAAGTGTTCATAACCATATATTTCAAATCACAAGGTTTGGACAAATCCAAAATGCAAGGTCACAGTTTTGACATATTGTCAAACACTAGTAGGTATTGTGTGAACAGATTGTACTGCAGCACTAATGGCCCAAGACTTGTGCTAACCTCTCCAAAGATTTGTTTGGTTCTGCCAAGAACAATTACTAATCTTTTCAATGGATAGTCTACTAAATTAACAAAATGGTAAATTCACTTTAATTGAAGGGCCCCTTCTTCAGTGTACGGTGTTTTGGAAGGGAGGAATGGAGTATAGTATGAGTGGAGTTTTCATCTCACCAATTGTATACTAAATATTTGTTGTTACTATATATATATATATATATATATATGCAGGTCAAGAGAGCTTTAAAAGGTTAGTTAGGTAACTTCTATTAAATTTCGGGAATAAATGCATCTCTTCAATTTGTGGTTTCCTGCATCTCAGTTAGTTTTCATCTCACAAATTGAATACTAAAATATTTGGTTGATGTATATATGCAGGTCAAGAGAGCCTCAAAGGGTAACTTTACTTGGCTCTTCGGAATAAATGCAGCTCTTATCAATATGCGGTTTCCTGCATTTTGGTTTTTTATTTTTCATTCAAAACCTGAGTTCTTCCCTACTGCTCAATATGCATCGTCTTATAACACATTTGAAGCAATAAAAGCCAAAATAAATGTTCAAATCATCATAAATGATATTATGAGAAGAAAGAACACTGACCCATTCGAGCCTTCTGGTTTTGGGTCCAACAAAGCACTATATTTGAGGTATGGAGATTCACTAGCAGGAGATGAGGAAGGAATTTCGAATGGTGGAACTTTATCAACATTTTTAGAACCAAAACTAAACAAGGGAGGAGGAACACTTGCTTTTTTTAATGGAACAATTTTATCAACTCCTGAAGTTGATTGTGGAGTAAGCAAAGTTTGCTGGAGAGTCGAGCTGCGAGCAGCAGTAAGGGGGAAGGTAAAGACGAAGCTTTTCTCGCCCGCCACAGACCCATTATTAGTCTCCAAACCAGTTCTTTGGCTGAATTCAGAACCTGCAGGAGGCTTGAATTCACATGAAGCTGATTTTTTGTCTGCTGCTTCGGTTTCAGTACCAACGGCCTCGCTTTCCACAACAGATGTCTTCAGTTTTTCTCTCCCTTTCAATGGTCTAGAGGTGCCACTGCCACCATTAGAATGTACATCATAATCCAGCTCCAGAGAATCCTTCATAAAAGAACTGTAAAATTAGATTTTGTAGCACATTCAGAAGAACATTAAATAGAACAAGGAATAAATATTACACATCAAATAATACAGTCTTCTCTAAATCAAACCAAGAAAAACAGCCGACAGACTTGGAAGACATTGCCATTTGAAGGCATCAGCAAGGACTAGAAAGCCAGTCATATGCTGACTAACTCAGGTGACAGCATTATCAACCCAGCCACATTTCACATCCTTTTTAGAAACGAGGAAACTTTTTTTTTCAGACTACAGCAACTCCAACAGATAGAAAGGACCAACCAAATAGTCAATGGAACCTCAATTACATGTAAACAAAGTGTAAGGGTGAGAAACAAGGACTACAGAAATCATAAAAATTTATAAGTAAAAAATAAGTACATTAGAACTGCAAGCCAAGTAGAAGACTAAGACAGAAAATTGTCCAAGGGGAACTATAAGAGTACATGACCAACAAACCTCATGCGCACTCATCTGAAAAGCCCGTTTCTTTTGTGGAGGTAAGGCACAAAATTTGCAGTTGCAGGACCTGTATTTTTAAAACTGGGTACAGCATCTTTAACTGGAACTGTAGCATCCACAATATTTACTGTAGGAGTTCACATGTCAGAAGGAATGCGCAATGCTTTTGGGTCATTTTCTTCAATTTTGTCTTGCTTTTGAGAAGAAGAGTCCCGAGCATCAGGTAAACTGGTGGTGTGTGAATCCTCCAACTTACGATCATCTATGGCATTTTGAAGAAACCTTGATGCATCAACATCTTCCGGGCTTCTAAAAGCCTTTCCACTTGGTTTCAACTTAGTGGGTGATTTATCCCTTTCAGCAGCTAGCCTGGCCTCGGATGATTTCTCCTTCGGGCTCAACTTTTCAAGCTGCTGCAATATTTTTGTAGCCATCTCAGTAGATTTAGAAGGAACATGGGTAAAACTTGTACTACGAATACTGTTATCCCCATATTCTCCTAGCATTGTTGAAACTTTATGATTAGGTTCATCCACTAAAAGCAGTTTTTTTGTTGACCATGAAGGACGTTCAGCCGTATCAGAACTGACTCCCACTGGACCTCCGGACACTGGTATACTCAGATTCCTAGGATAGAGAAGATTAGTCTTTTGTCGAATTCTGCGTATGGGACCAACAGATCCAATATCATTATCTAAGACAACTTCTACGCTTATGTGCCTGCATAACATATATAATTAAAAAAGAATTAATGATATAATAATGTTGAGATCTGTTGGTCCCACACATACCACTTGTTTAGATCCAACGTATCCATCTTGCTCCCATGCATACTGAGATGATGACGATGGTTCACCAAAACCATCACTTATTGACTTGACACCCTGGGATTTGAGCAAAATATTAGAAAATTTCTAATATAGGGCAAGCAATAGAAGGATTGCTGGAGAAAATAAACCTTTTGGTTAGCAGTGGAATAAACCCTGGAATACGGTGTCCGCGCCATATCGTATATTGCAGATCTGCCACGAGACCTTGGGGTGATAAACCCATTTTCAGTGACCCCAAGACGTAAAGCAGATTTTGGAGCCAGAGACATGATGGATGATTTTGGAGAAAATTGTATATTATTTAGCAAAGTTGCATCTTCCCTTGGTGCTTGACTGCGCAAAGCTAACGTTGGCGTTGTTGCTTTTGAAGGCCTACTTCCCATGTAAGCTTTTGCAAGCTCAGCAGGTGAAGCAACATCCTCTTCAAGGACCTGAAGACATTTTAATCTCATAAATGTGAAAAATAGTGCCATTACTGGCAAAATATATTTACCATTATTAGAATGCATGCAAAACTGAGGAACTGCTCACTAAAGTATCAATCAAAATTACAAAAAAGTGAGCGTCTCATCTTACTCTTGAACTGACAATAGGAGTAGAAAGGCCTCCGTGTAATCGACAGTTCTCAGTCCCAGTTTTTAGCATTGGACTATTTGCAAATTCGCCCTTCCTCTCAAAAGCAGATGGTGGCTTTGGAAGATTTGCTTCAGTCTTTCTGTTCTCGTTCCCCACAGGTAAATCAACAGATCTTGAATGCAACACTTCTGTCAAACGATCAATCTCAGATCTGTACATAACGATTCATATCAGAAATAGTGCAGAAATTCACACAGACATGCAGACATTGAGACCTTCGATTGTTAGAAGCAAACATTAACAGCCATCAAATTCATAAATCTAGTTAAGAGCTCAAGGAAAATGACAAGCTGCCCAAAGGAATACAACAGGTTCAAGGGTTAATTAATTGTCAGGGAACAGATTAGCTATAATAAAATAGAAATGTTCGAGACGGCAATATTACATAATCCTTGATTACCAGGAAAAAAGAATACATAATCCTTATCTGCTATTCATGCTTGCAATTTGGTGAGTACGCGCGGGGGGGGGGGGGGGGGGGGGTGGGGGGGGTGGGGAATGGGTGGGGGGGTTCTCCAACTTTGAAGGTAGCAAACTGAAGACTGAAGACTACAGAATATAACTCCCTTTGGTTCATTTTCAATTCCAACACTTTCAATACTCGCTATTTCATGGGTCCAATACCCATTCCAATAGGTTCAGCACAGTTGGATGGCATACCTAATACTAGGTAGAGAGATTGCAGCCCACAAAATGGTCCAGGTATAAACATAAAACGCACAAGTGCATGAACAAGCAGAAACATTTTGTCTACACAAAATTGGGAAAATATCACATTATAGATAGCTTATCTAAACCATGAGTTGGAAACTGTGAACATGCCACAAGTGCATGTGCACGTGTGCAATATATAGCAGCACCAAGTATACAATCAGTTCTTGACCATGTTAAAAAACCATTAGGCGTCAATTCAAAACTCCACATTGTTCAAAAGACAGGTAGAACCATACTTGAAGTAAGACGTTCCAATAAAAAGTCACATTTTTATGTATATATGTACATACAAATACAGATGGACACAAAAGCACACAAGAAAAAGGTATACTGAATATCCAGCAAATAAAGAAGTACATGGTAAATATCTTCTGCCTTAACATTTCCTCAAGTTCAGAAATTCTGCTACTGTTATTACTTAAATTGCCACCATTGTTTACGGCTGATTCTTGAGCCCCAAGAGGATTCTTCACACAAAAATTGTACAAATCAGATATATATCAGAACAATAAGAGTATGATAATATCGTATCAGACAAAACAAAACTATTGCACAAAAAAGAGGCGCTACAAATCCTTGGTTGTTGCACATAAATGGCATGGAAGCAAACATCCATCAACAAATGACAAGAACACCTAAGGGCCTTTTTGTAGCACAAATAGTTTGCCCTTATACCTTATTAAATAAACTTAAGAGGAACCATATCCAACGTCCAAGATTCACATGTCAAATGTTGGAGAGTAGTCCAAGAACAGTCCTCGGGGTATTGAAAAATACACATTTATTAGAGATAAGAAGACATCCAATATTTGTCAAATATAAGTCCACAAATATCCCAGAAGAATAGTTCTCTAGCGAAGAATGTCCAAGAAGCTTACTTAGAAACATCAAATGAATATTAAGAACTAAGTTAAGGTCATAAAATACGCAAGACTTGCAACTCGAATTTATGAAGAATGTGTATAAATATATATATAATGGAAATGGGGTGTAAACAAAACTAAATGAATAACAAATCAATTATTTATACAATTATAAACATGCTTAATAACAAGAAAGTAGAATTACATAGATAGAAATACCCACACCAAAACAATTGCCTCGAAGGTAGCACCAGAGCGTAAAAATTCAAACTACTTAACTCACCTGAAGCGTGTCCCTTGATTCTTGGTTTGGCCCTGGTTACATCATAAATTACAATACATAAGTTTGAAATCATAGAAATAATACTTTGCATTTAAATCATGAGCGATATATAACCCAAAGGCCAATCAGTATATTGAGCTAATGAACAGTGACAAAAGAGTCTAAAAGAAATACAAGAACTAGCAACTTATTAAGAAGTAAAAGCAAAATACTTATCAAAAATATGAAATAAAAGCAATGATTGCTTAAGGAATGAAGTCACACAAACACACACAAAACAAGAATGATTCCATATCAAGATCATTATTAAGTATGATACAGATCAGATACTATGACAGAATGACAATAGAAAACACTCTTTAAATAAGGGGGAAAATGAGATCCTTTCAATCCTTAAAAGTAAATTACATTAATCAGATATGCAATTTCACAAGTTTCCCCAAGAGTTAACAATCAAGTTAAATACATTTTTTGTAAAGTTCCTAGCAAATGTCATTGGCAAATTTCAGTAACATATTATAAGCAATATATATTATGTTTGTACCAAACAGAAAATTAATTATCAGCCAGCAGATGTATATAAATGTATAATGACTTTTCAGGAAGAAAAAAATAGCGACTGCTATTACCGTACATCATCTATGTACACCATGGTTTTCTGCCACTGCCAGTATATAAGAGTTGCATCCTATAGGGAAATATACACACGTGACAGAGTGGTCAAAACAAACAAATGGTTGAACCATGTATTTGCTTTGCAAATTTTGCACAATTAGCAACACCAGTTTAATATATATTTTCTAAAAAGAATTCTAGAATATAATCACGTGCTATGTTACATGAACTCTCATGTTCCCTCCAATGTACCCCTGTCAATATAATACTCCACATTTATACGTACAAAAATGTGTCCTACAAACAAGCTGAGATGGGACAATCTATTCCTCTACAAATGTCTTTCCATGGGAGAGACTGAGAGATAGAAAACACTTCTCTTCTATCAAATTTGAGCCTTATTACAAACAAGCCAGTAGCCTAGCGGTACCAAACCCCTACTTCCCAAAGGTAGGTCAGAGGTTCAAACCTCAGTGAAAGCATATGTGTGTGAGTACCAACTAAGAAAGAAAGAAAAAAATTGAGCCTTATTCTTCTTTTTATTCATATACTTACCTAAATTTAGGATGCATTTTCGGTGTAGCCCTCATATCCTATGAATTGGAATTATCTTCCAAAAAGAATTCTAGAATAAAATCACATGCTATGTTACATTAACTCTCATGTTCCCTCCAAGGTACCCGTGTCAATAAAATACTCCACAGTTATCAGTACAAAAAATGTGTCCTACAAACAAGCCCAAATGGGAAATTCTACTCCTCGACATATGTCTTCCCATGTGAGAGGTAGGAAACACTTCACTTCTATCAAATTTGAGACCTTTCTTCTTGTAGACACTAAAATTCTAGTGGGCTTTGGTTTTGACAAATGGACCCATGAAATATGGGCTTAATGTTTAATTAAGTTATTTAATTGGCCCAAACTTGGTCCACTTAAATTATTCAATTAGCCCAGCCCAGATGATTAAATAAAAAGATAATTATTCCTAATAAAATAAATTTGGAATAATTATATTTAAGGATAATTATCATAACATAACTGGCCCGGCCAGTTATGATTTTATCCTTATCAGGAGATGACACGTGTCATCATCCTATTAATCCAAGAAGCCTATAAATAGAGGCCTGAAGGAAAAAGGAAGGGGGACACAAATTCAGAATTCAGAAGTCCAGAAATCCAGAGACTCAGACGTCAAGGACACAAATTCAGAATTCAGAGATCCAGAATTCTAGAGAGAACTCTCATCCCCAACATCCAAACACAAAGGCGAAGAACATCAAGCACATCCAAAGTTGTGCCGTTCTTCATCCAAATTCCACAAACACATCAAATCGTGCCGTTCTTCATCAAATTCCACGATGATTCAAGATCAAACTCGTGCAACCCTTGGATCCAACCAACCAAAAAGGAGATCGAATCAGAGGACCTTTCTTTTTGTAAAGAATATTACAAAGGATTGTACTCCATCTTTATAAATTAATAAAATATTATATTTGCTTCCTATTTTGTTTCTTATTTGCAGACAACAAAATTTGTGTGTACACTTCTTTTTACTCATACGCATACCTAACTTAAGGACGCATTTTAGGTGGAGCCCTCATATCCTAAGGATAGGAATTCAAAAACAAATCTGCATCAGATACATGTGCCCAAGTCCATGTAACATATAACACTAGAGGATTTCCATTGCGATTACCTTTAAACAAAGGGAGACAGTTGAAACCGCCAAGTAATTTTTTTCCAAATCTACAGCCTGTACATGGCTCCACATGCTATAATAAAATTCCCTTCTGTTTTCTAAACCAAACTCAAAAGATTATTTATTTTATGAAATTGCAGCATTGAATTCTCTAATTCCCAAATCAAATTTTGAAAACAGGTGGAAAGATGTTATTTATAAAGATTACTAGCTAAGGAAATCAATCACAAGGTGAAGAGAAAACTGTGTTGGAGTATGGATGTATAGATCGTCAGCGGCAGTCTTCAAGAAAAAAAAAACTTGGCAAAAGTCTAGATTCGAATAAACTAAGGGATTCTATTGAGTTAGAATTTGTAAAATAGGATTTTAACCTCTCTTCTGGAGGGATTAATTTGCTCGGCCCAAGCTCCGGTGTTTTTCCCTATACGGTTTTCCACATAAATCATCTATCTTTGTGTATTGTTTTTGTTTAGTTAAATCCTACTCTCTCTAGCCTTAAACTAATGAGTAAATCCTATTCTCTATATAATATGATTTTTATTGACACATTGAAATATAACTATTAAATTCACATATTAGTTAACAGTAGTAGTTAGGAATGTTTCACGCTTTCAGTCGAGCTGAGGCTGTGCGCACTCTACATATCAGAGCCTGGGGTAAATATCCTCTCCTTCGACAAGTATCAAGCATATAAAATTATACATCCTTCAATTGGTATCAGAGTGTATCAATTGTAGATGGTTCAACGTGGACGTAATGGAACTGGAGGTCATCTAACCTACTACACAGCATAACAGCCATTAAGGTGATGTAATTGCCCCGTAGTGGTCTATAACAAAAACATTTTAAGCCTGATCTTTCAAATTTAATTTTTGGGGATTGGGATGATATCGGAACACCATATAACTATAAATCTACCCTCCAAAACAATAAGTTTACAATATATGAGGTACGAAAGTGTAAGCAATTTAAATGAAAATCAATAAAAATTAATCAAGTGTGGCTATATTTGAAGGTGCAGAGCAACAAAGATTCCAGTGGTTTTGAAAATTCCCACAGAATAATTACATGTACAACTCAATCATAAGGAATCCAGGAACATAAAAATAAAAAATAAAAATAAGCCCAGCAACCAAAAACACTAATTATACATCTGCAATCTAAATGATAAAATCATGGAAGGAAAAATTTTCGAAAATGGTAAAATGGAAAAACAAGAAATAGAATATGTCCATTTATAGAAGTTCCTCATTGACCTGCTCTACCATTTTGAGTATTGAACTAAAGCAGAATATATGCCCTCCCCCCTATTTACAACACACTTCCTGAAACAAAACCCTGTACCTTAAAGAACATAACGCACTCGGAACCCTAGTCCCTCACAACTGAAAATTTTTGCCGAAATTCCTAGCAGAAATAATTTCTCATTAATTTTAAACTACAATGCCATATAAGTGCCGACCTAAACAAAACAATGTCTTTCCACACCTTTACAGCAAATTCCAAATCAAAGAAATCCAATAAACCCTATAACAAAAAGCACCCAATTATAGAAACCCTAATGCCTCAACGACCTCTAAAAAATGTTGCAAACTCGAATAAAATGATCTCAAAAACAGTAAACAAAATAAAAAAAAAAAAACAGAAACAATACACAGAAAAGATGTTCATAAAGGTAGCTTCCTGATTGATCTAGAGAGCAATATGATTTTATCAAAACTACCCAAAATTCGAACAAAAGGTCATTCTACCTAATAACAACTCAATTCCGCAATCAATTAACCTTGAAATATTGAAAAATCTGAAAGAGCAAATTAATACACAAAACACACACAAACATGTGCATATACATAAGAATCGAACCTGGTGAGGGTGGGGAGGAGGGAGGAGGCGCTTGCGGAACACGGAGGAGAAGAACATTTGAGCGCTAGCGGAAATAAGTTTGGAGGCTGGGTCGACAAGTTTCGAGAGCCAACCGTCTCTAGGGTTTCCGAGGGCGGTCGGCGGCCGATTGTACGGTGTCGTCTGGGGTCTCCGTAACGGCTTTTTCCGGAACTTGCCACCCGTTTCTCCGCCACCTCTGTAGGAGGAAGTTCCTTCCCCTGCCGCCACCATGGAAAGCCGAGCAATGAATCCTAGAGAGAGAAAGTGCACGGTGGGGAGAGAGAAAGAAGACAAGGCACTGCAAAATAGGGTTTTAATTGTACACGCAGACACAGAAAGCGAAATAGAAAATTGTCAAAAAAATAACACAAAATGAGGAGTGTTTAGAGAGACAGAAATGATATTTGAGAGAGACATTGAATTTAATTTTCAAGTGAACTGTTTATTTGAATATTTTTAGTTGCTTCGGAGAGAGGCTATAGTAACAAGAAAACCATATTAAAGAATAACAGGCAAACCCTCACCACAAATTTTACTGAAAAGTGAATTTTCACTTCAAATCAACGTAAAAAGCGTACCTTTCTGTCAGACGTGTGGGTCTGATTATACTGTCGTGCTCGCACTTTACCATTCATGATGTGTTTTATTAGAAAACTTCCAAATTAATTAGTACACACACACCACTCGCAATAAATAGTTCAAGGTATCTGTCTGGCTAAAAGGACATACAAATAAGATTATCTAGACAATTTGAAATCCAAATAGTTGTAAATATTTCAAATCCTAATAAAAAATTCGACATGCCAAATATTACAAATTCACATAATTATTAGAAGCTTTAAAGGGGAGTAAGCCTGCTGCCATGCGCCAAAAGCAAAATAACACACTTCCAAAGCACATCTGAATTGAGTTGTTTTTGCTTCATAATTTTTTAATTTCCGTACTTCTTTCCAAATTTGTGCTTCAAAAAATATACATTTCCGAAATAGCACCACCAAATGCATGCTCCTGAATTATCAAAAGCTCATTTTCTATTAGTTAGGAATGAAAATATTCGTTCATTTCGGACTCCATTCACAAGGCATCAAGTCCCAATTACTTGGGATTGGCTACGTGAATCCTTTCACCAAACTACTTTATCTAGGGCCATATTTTCCACTAAAGCATAATGTCATGATGGGCAGGTTCCACACCCAAAAGGACCAGTGACACTTGGGGAATTCTCAAACCCATTTAAGAAGCTCAGGACAACTCAATGCACACCAGACATGGGACTCTTGGAACAAGTCTGTGTATCCATGACAATAAGCTATCATTTTATGCTACTGCCCTGACCTGCATTCTACTCTTCTGTTTCCCTCCTTTTCCTTATAGCTCACTTGATTTGAACCAGGTGAATCTTTCTCGTAGGCTTACTTGCTCATCTTCAGGGCACATGGTTCAGCCATCTTAAATATCTTTTTGTCATCTTGTTCTCGATTGTCCTCCTCTAGCATCCTAGAAGTATTGCCTTATAATTATACTAATTTATATATATATATATATATATATATATTTCACATGATACTCTTGATTTGCAGAATTCTGCATTGTCAAGAGCACTTGGCCTTGTCAGCCAACTTGAAAGTTTTTTAACCTAACCAGTGCTCTATGACCACATTATCATTAATCATTATGAGAGAGAGAAATGTATGAGTGAATGTCAGTCGGCTAAGCCAAGTGGGCTGACTCCTATACAAGTACATATAATCATAGAAAAGAGAGTAAGAAGGTACAGAAGTGCCTCTTAATAATACCCAGTAGATGAAGTGCCTCTTAACAATACCCAGTAGATTAAAAATATATATATTCCTATCACTCCCACTCAATCATATGCACAGCCTGTTACAAGAAGTTGTAATCTGTTTCTTTTATAACCATATCACTCAAAATTTGGCAATCAATCTCAATATACTTCGTGTCTACATGAGTGATCAAATACTGGGTTACTAGCAGTGTGTATAGCTACCAACATCTTCGAAGGCTTTCTATTGGAATCCCCCATCTCCTCTAACAGTGATCTTATGCAGAATATTTCACATGCTGCATGAGCCATTGCCATGTATGCTTCTGCACTTACCGAGCCACTACACTGCTTCTTACTTTGCCAAGTACATCACCTGTCCAGTCAATTATCTGTGAAGGCATATTAAGGTTGTCAGATAATTTGAACACTAATTCATAATGCAGAGCTCTAGTTAAGTATCTCGAGATGAGACACAGCATCAGTCTGCATACCTTGACTCGTTACTCCAACTGCAAAACAATCTATAGCGCAGTTACAGTCATATATTCAACTTTATCCACAAGTTTTCTATATTATCCAGGAACCTCACAGCTTCAACCCTTGTCTATGCTAAACTCGGTACTAAAATCCATCATGGTGTCAGAAAAGAGTTGGCACCAAACACCCGTATCAGCAAGAAGATCCAATGATCCCTAACATATTTCCTTTGAGAAAGAGAAATATCTTTCCTGGATCCAGCTATTTCAATACACAGATAATAACCTAGTTTTCCCAAATCCCTCATGTGGAAGTGCTTACTCAAGCAAATCTCCAAGTTTCTAATGCCATCAACATCACTTCCATAACCACAATATCATCTGACCACAAGGACTACAGTTTCATTGGAACCAGTTCGACAAAAAATTAATGCTCTTCAATCCATTTGCTGATGCCACCAGATTGAATTTATCAAACCACTCCATTGTGAGATTCTTTGAGACAATACATTGCCTTTTCGGCCTTTAATCTTGTGGAAGTCCTCCTGAGCTAGGTTGTTAGGATCAGGATTCTACATAGGATCGTTGGGGACTTCGTAGAATCGGATTGAGAATCATAAGATTCTACCAAACTAGTAAAAAAACAATTTAATCTAACTTCTTAAACAACTATATGTCTAAAACATAGCAAGAATAATTCTAAAACACAAAAAATGTATAAAAGTACCACTTCAAAGTCCAAATATAGAACGCAGCTCAAAGGGTAGATCATGAAGACCCCACTGAGTAACATACTAAGTTACTAACAGAATCGTGCGATTCCACGATTCTACCATGATTCTACCTAATGCATGACTTTGTTGCGATTTGAAACGATTTTGGGGCCTGGGGTCATAGAATTGTGCAATTCTACGACCCAGAATCGCAATTTTAACAAACTTGCTCTAAAAATTTTAATCACGTCTTTCAACTCCTCTTGAATGCAAACAAGAGGAGTTGTGGAGGGGGGTGTGGAGCAAAGATGTTTCTTATTATCTCTACATTGTTCCATTAGTCTCCTTAAAATTTATTAGCTTCCACAGTTGACCATCTCAACATAGATCCAAATTGATTTTTTTGACACTATTCTCATTTTTTAGTTGTTTAATCACCTTTTTCAATATCTTATGAATAACTCATTAATACATACCGCAATAATTTAGTAACTCCATATATTCCTCTAAATGAAAAGAACTTGCATTAAAGGAAAGAAACACCGTACAAGAGAAAGAGAGGGAAGGCGTATCTTCACAATAAATGGAAAAGAATCATTTCTCAAGAAAGATACCTTCACAAAATGGAAAAGAACAATTTCCAATATGAGGATAACAAGAAAAGGAAGGCCTGAATAGAACATAGAATAGAAAAACCAAAATTCACGGTCACAAATTTTTTTGACCTCACACATAGGGCCCCAAATTTACTAGTATGCAATGCTCCTGTGGAAGTATCTACTCGTTACAGAATCTCAGGTGTCAAAGTGTGGATTTCATATAGTTAAAAAAAAGGAGGACGTGCTATATCCGAAACATACGAAATATGGTAAATATCGTAAGGCAGATGTAGTAGGGGTTGCAAACCGGACGGTACACAACTCCATTTTGGAAGATATGGCACTCAAAGTTGTGGAGCTGGTCGTCTTTCATATCAAGCCAAGCCATTGAAGCAGTGTGTCAGGCTATCTTTTACAACATCGTACAAATATAAGTTTCTTTTAATTTAAATTTTAGTGATTTTTGTTACATTTCTTAATATCATTTACTACAAGTAACAGCCAATACATGAATTCTAAGTCATTGGTGTTATTAAATTTTAATAATTTATGTTTAATAATAAATTAATGAGTATAAATACAAATTTATAACATAAAATTTATAATATAATAAGAGGATAGCAAATGTGAATAATTATTTTTAGTTCAACTAGGAATTCTATATTTACACAATGTAATTAAGTTCTTTTTGTAATTATGAAACAATGAGGGCAGATATTTTAATTTTCTTTCAAAATTAGAATGTTGAAGGGCTTAAATGTAATGCCCAAAGACTACGATCATATCTGGGCAATCAGCACGTCTTGTAAAAATTAATTGAGCCTTCCCGAGCCTTGTCACCGCTAGTAAGAAACTCTAGCTTAAATGTTTTTCGCCTCAAGCCGACCACTCCGACAAAGTTTTCTGACGTCAACAACAAGGCAAATGACAGCTTCTTCTTCGTCGAGTCATGTGCAATTTTTACTCGCACCGAGATATCAACCACACTCGGTATCTCGACGGGCCTACTCCATTTCGACTCGGCCGAGTCGCCAAGACTAAACCAATTTTTCAAACCTTGGCTCAGAGCATTCCGCTGGACATGCGTTGATCTTAAAAGCAAGGAAGCAAGGGTGGCCAGGAATCAGGTTTGCAAACCTAAAGATCAAGGATGTCTCGGAGACTTGGACAACCAAATTTGGACATGTGGAATAAAGTTTCTGTAGTGATATACGGAATTTATTCAAAGATGATGCAGTCCCTTTGACTTGACTGGGTCCATGATAATTTGTTTAAATCTAAAAGTTTCTGGACTCTTAAAGTACCTCAACAGTCCTCATTGAATTGGAGACGTTTGCTCAACCTTATAGGTCTTGTTTGTCCTTTATTCACCGCCGAGTTGGCAATGACAAAGACATTTTGCAATTGCATGAATGTTGGCTTCCAATAGGTCCTTTGGATGAGAAGGTTGATTGCTCAATTATATCCAACTTCATGTGGGGGGATCAAGCCAAAGTCAGTGCCTTGATTCATCACAACCAATGGTGACTCCACTCTAGCTTCTTCACTCTTATCCCATCCTTTCAAAATTCTCAACAATGCCCATCCATTAATTCTCCCAACTGAGACTCAGTTTTTTGGCTTCTTTCCCCAAATGGTTAATTCAATTTTAAGCACAGTCTTAGTTCTATTGCCTCTACTTCTCCTTTAGTTCCTTGGTCACATCTTATTTGGTTTCATAAAAAATTGCCTTCTCATTCTTTTGTTTTATAGATGGAAGTCTTGTTTTTCTTTATCATCCTAACATAAGCTCTCTTTGCATATCCAATGCTAAGTCTCACTCACCCCTCTTTCCCGATTGCACATTTTCTGCATCTATTTGGAAGATTTACCAGCATACTTTTAAATTTATATTGGTCATTATGATTGGCCAGCTTCCGTCGAGTGGGCTTCTGTAATCTAGAAGCGTAAGTCCATCACATTTTACACTTTCAAGCTGTGTTTAGCCAGTTGAATATACTATATTTGGAGGGAAAGAAACAACCGTATCTTCAGGTGCAATCACTCTTCTTCAGTTGCTGTTTGGAAAACCCTCTTTGAAGTCATTCGTTGCCGCCACTTTCTTTCTTCCAAGATGAGGGACAACACAGTAAATAGATCTATTGCTGCTTCTTGGAGATTGCCAAGCTCAGTCTTCAACTCTTCTCTGTAGCTGCTGTTGCTGATGGCATGTCCCTACTGGTGCATTATTGTGTTGCTAGCTAAGGGCTGTTGTGTTGTCCCTGTGTAGGGCTTTAGCCCTTCTTTTTGCTAGGGTTGTCTCTTGTTTTTTTTTTAGGCTGCTTGTTGTGTGGGCTTTCCTTGGGCTGCCCTTTGTGTATTTCTCTTTTTTCTATCTATTTAATTCATTCATTCACCCAAAAAAAAAAACTTTTGAAATTGCATGAATGAACATGAAACTAATATCAATGCCAGAAGATTTTCAATGGTAACGGCAAACCATAAATCCAAGGATATAATTTACAAAGAAGTACAACAGGAATACATACCTTCATTGTACATGTGTGACATCATTGGATTTGATACTTTTGGTGCATCTCTATCCTGTTGCCATTGTCCCTCTGTTTTTGAGGAAATATATGGATGCTCTTGCTTGGCAGAAAAAGAGTCTGTCCGTCCAGGAAAGTCATTCATTCCTGTATTATGTGGCATTCCCTGATCAGACATATGCTGCATTTAGGAAGCAGCATATCGGTTATTGGAATCCGGATATGGTGCTGGCCTTTTCATCTGCTTTGTTTACTAAAAAATAAATATTTGATCAACCTAAAAACACAAGAGCCAAAATGATAAAGGCCCATTGATAATAAGTCACAACAAAGAAAGCAATGCGTGTCAATACTGTCAGTATCTATTAAATAGAAAAAAAAAATGGAACACATGCATTGCAATGGACATTAAACTTAAATTGTATCATGAATACCAATAGAAGTAAGCAATACACAAAAAAATAATTGTAACAGCATAAATAAAATTAGTTCAATCATATAACAACCAAAAAAGAACACCGAACAAAAGGGCCGTGATACCAATTAGAACAATTAGCAATTTAGGGTATTAATATGAAATCCCAGACATGAAATCTTCTTACTCTAAAGATCTTCATACCACTCTTGTAGCATACAAAAGCAGTTCAAGAAAAGCAATCACGAAAACAAAGTGACCCACCTGCAGACCACATTCTCCCTGTCTTAAAAGTCATTTCTTTTAATTCTTGGTAATCTAAATCAAACCCTAAAACGCACCGTGACACCCATAGAATAATTAGCAATTTAGGGTCTAAATATGAAATCCCAGACATGAAATCTTCTAACTCTAAAGATCTTCAAACCACTTGTAGCATACAGATGCTGTTCATGGAAAGAAAAAAAAAACAAAAAATCAAGAAAACAAAGTCATCCGCCATCAGACCACATTCTCTATATCTTAAAGTCATTTCTTTTCATTCTTGGTAATCTAATTCAAACCCTAAAAGGTGAAAATAGTGTTTGGGTATATATAATGTTTTTAGCTTGGTTCACAGTCAGAGATTTTGTTACTACATATAAGTCAATAAATATGAGATTTAATAAATAAAAAGGAACATTAAAATTTATTAAATCTCATATTTATTGACTTATTTGTAGTAACAAAATCTCTGACTGTGAACCAAGCTAAAAACATTATATATTCCCAAACACTATTTTAACTACAAGTCATAAAACTTCCCCGAGAATTTTAAAATTCACCAAATCTAATAGGATATATTTATGATCCAATCCAACAATTCAACAAATTTTATGTTGTTGAATTAATACCAGATTTAGTAGTTTGCCAGATATCACTAAAATCTTGGCATTTGGTGAAGTACCTATGTAAATACATGCATTCATCGTGTAATATCACTGTTGCAGGGAAGTTTTTCTCATGTTCGAGACAGAATTATTATTTTTATATAATAAACCAGATCTGGAGAGAGCAGCAGCATAAAACACTACAACTATAAGACAATGCTAAGCATAGGAAAATACCACTACAGCCAAAGAAATACAATGACACAATGGACAAAGTCATGCTTATAGCATTTTCATTACTATGCAAATTCCAAGTCAAAACACCGGTGTGCCACCACCAAAACATTTAGGAAAAGAAAAGAATACGATAAGAATAAAGCAATCCCCAGTTTACATTCATCATCAAATCCTTCTACTGAGTAACTGGTAGTGAAAGTCAATGGAGTTTTCCAATCATCCGCGGAATGCTTAATGAAACGTGAGAGAGATTTGAATTTTCGGGATATACTGGTATGCATTTCATTACAGCATCATAAAATGATGGTGACACAACACCAATTTCATCTAACGAATTATGTCCTAGCTTTCTTCAATTTTATGTACAATGAAGAGAGAGATGCTATAAGAGAACTCGGTCAGAAGGGGAAGGTCCTCTGGAGTTCCTAGTTCCAACCTTATAAGTTTTACAACTTAGTTCATCCAATCACAACAAGGATAAAACCGATTGGGAACCATAACTACAATGAAAAATACCTCCTAATAACATTTACAAGTACATATTAGGCAAAGAGAAATCCCAGTATTGTTGGCCATTTGAGCCACGTATTTGCTCACAGTTCCAGCTTTCATTGAAGGTTTCCTACCTGCAGTATTCTGGAAATCATAATGAGCCTCAATGTTAAGAGTGACGAGGTACAGCTCTTCTTAAATCTCAAAAAGGACAAGAAAATATCTTCAAAAAAAAAAAACACGAATATGATGATGTTCAAGATGCTACTGGAGTCAAATAACCATTTTTCCATCTGTTTCCTATCTCACTTAAACTTGTACTGTAGTGCTTTAGGTAGCATTTTTCAGGTTTTAAATTCAACCATTTTTTATCCTCTTCTTCGTTTTTTTTAGATGATGGATTCATGCCTATTTCATGGAACACCCCACAATTCTGTTCGCGAGAGTAAGGGAGGGAGTTGTCCTGTGCTGCCTTGAGTCCCAAAAATTCACATCTATTATCTCCCAAAATATCAAGCAGAAAGAACAACAAACAGCAATTAAGAAGAGAGTTTGATCTGTGAAAGTATAACTAACATTTACATTCTGGAGGTAGTTACCATCGCTAGGAAGCAAAAAAAGTATAAGAAACAAATGAGTCCAGAAAACAGACACATAATATCCCACCCACACAGATAGTTGCGAAATGCAAGAAAATTATGTCTAAAAAGGTTTGACGTGGAAATGTAGCGCATCAGCACAAGCAAATATAAGTAGGTTTGGGAAAGAAAAAAATAATAATAAGGTAGCATCTAGGAAGCACCGACACGGCTACCATAGTCGGCGTACCAGTGTCGGACACGTGTCCGACACGGACACTCGTGTCAGAGGCTCGGACACGTGTCCGACACGGACACTCGTGTCAGAGGCTCGGACACGTGTCCGACACTCTCACATCGCGTCCTGTATTTTTTAATTAATCGGACACGGCCGGACACCGATTGGACACACTGGAAGAGTCGCCGGACACGATCGGACACGCCTGAAGACACGCCGGAGACTTTTCTTTCTTTTTAAAATAGAGAGGAAGAAGATGAAGAGGCAGCCAGAGAGAAAAAAAGATAAAGAGAAACCAGCCAAACTACTGTGGAGAAGATCAGAATCTCAAAAAAATGAAGATCGGCCAGCACAGAATGAAGATCGGCCAGCACAGAGAGAGAGAGAAGCGCAGATCGGCACAGAGAGAGAGAGAGAAAGAGAAGCGCAGAGATAAATGATGATGGTGACGTGGAAAAAGGAACGGAGGATATCAGATTAAAGATAATTACAAATCTTATCTTTACATGTTTGGCCACAAGGGCTATGTTATCCATTGTTGGATATAAAGAGTTATTGTATTATATATATATATATATATATATATATATAGAAAGAAGGATTTTGTTTTTGTTTATGGATACAAAGAGTTGCTATATATTATATATATGTTTCTATTGGATCTTTATGAACCTATATTACATGTATTATATTTATTAATATAAAATTTTAAGTAAAAATTAATTAATTAATATATATTAAAATTATATTATAATTTTATTACCGTATCCTAACCGTGTCGGTGTCCTATTTTTTAAAAATTTGCCGTATCGCCGTATTCGTGTCGTGTCGTACCCGTATTTTGTGTCGGTGTCCGTGCTTCATAGGGTAGCATTGATTGATATTTTAAGTAAGGGGAATGCGGGTAATACCATAGTGAAAAAAATGACTATAATTGAAGACGCATGATGCAGGCCTAATTCTACAATTATGTTGTACACCTTGAACATTATTATAAAGCATTTAAATATAACAAAACATGCTTAAATAAGTAGACCTCACTTCTTTTTTCTGAGTTTAAAAAAAATATATATATATATATATATATATATATATATATATATATATATATTTAAAGAAGTGGTCAACCTCTTTTGAGTTAGGTCAAGAGTTTCGATTATGATAATATGACCAGATATCACACCTTGCCTACAACCATTCAGGCCCAAACTTTTAACTTCAAGGAAAGGACTGATGCATCAGCTGCAACTTATGTCAGTGGAACAATCGATGGTTGGGGGCCTGAGGCTACCTTGCCCAAATTTTTTTTTTTTTTTTTTATAAGTAAGAATATATTAAAAACGCTCAAAAGGGGAGCGAAACCCAAAGAAACAAAAGGGCCACAAGGCGCCTTAAACCTTCAGAGAGGCCAAAAATACAATAATCTCATCAATAGATCTATAATCTCTCCCTGAAACCCAACAAAAAAGAGTGGAAATGATTGAGAACTTAAGCGAAGAAATAGATTTCTTCTTTCCATCAAAATATCTCCTATTTCGCTCGAGCCAAATGCACCACCAAATACAAAGGCGTAGCCCTCCAAGCATCCTGAATGAGAACCCTAACAGAGACGCCTCTCCAAGCCTCAATCAATCATCTGGAGAAATAGGGCATAACCCAATGGACCCCAAATAAACTAAGCATCAAGTCCCAACAGTCTCTGGCCATGCTACAGTGCAAAAAAAGGCGGTCAACTGTCTCCTCATCACACAAGCACAAATAACAATGATTGACTACCACCTGATTCCTCCTCCTCAAATTATTCTATGTTAAAATCTTGCCGAGGACAGAAGTCCAAGCGAAAAAGGCGACCTTAAGGGGGGCTTTAGATCGCCAAATAGACTTCCAAGGGAAAGGGCCAACAGAATCAACCGCAAGGCATCTGAAAAAGGACCTAACCTCGAAAAGACCCTGAGAGTTAAGATCCCAAAGCCAACAATCCGAAACCCCAACTGTGATTACCTTGCCCAAAATTAAAGGGCCCAAAGTATTTCAATTTGGTTATTTCAAATTGGCTGAGGTCTGAGTAGCCTACTTCATATCTGCTTGTGTGGAAATCAAAGTATTCATTTCTCCAACGGAAAAGCAGTAAATAGCAATACATAAGCAACATAAGTAAGAAGCATATGATATAATTATGCATAAGGAATAAGTTGATATCACCCATTGCTCTTTTCACCACATAGCAACAAAGCTAAATGAGTTAAAAAAAATTGTGGATTGTATAAAGGCGGAGAGCTTACATGATTTTATGAAGATCTGTCTAAGATAACTACTGGCAACTCCATCTTTAAGCATCAAAAGGAGCACAATGCAGACTGTGTTTGCCATAGGGATATTAGGGTAACTTCAACATAGCCATGGATCAAGGGTCAGGAGGCCATTAACCAATATTACTTCAAATTGTTGACTGCGTGATAAGTTGTCTGCGAAGCATTCAGACCTAAAGATATTTAAATCAGGTTCTTCTAATTCTAGGTATGCAAGACAAAGTCCCAAAATAAAGAAAAAGACAAAAGTAGCACTTTTACCACACCTGAGAACTGAGAAAATCTGTAGGAAGCACTGCATAAAGCTCACGGAGGAAGTTTTCCTGCAGAATCAGGTGCCAATTACCAACACCACACTTATATGCTTTATCACATGAGACATTTTAAAATAAGGTAATAATATATATATATATATATATATATATATATATATATATATATATATATAATCATTTTTCTTGCTTCAAATACCATTATAAAATTAAATCGACCACAAAGTAAGTTTACATCCAATGAAATGAGCTTGACCTTCTGAAAAGGAACCTCCTGATTTGTATTTCTCTGTTCTTTAAATACTAAACATGAACATGATTAACTCCTCACAATATCCAAAAATACATAAATTATATAGTCTTTTATGCTATAGTTGCACTAGTATTTCTAATTTCCTCCTCTCCAATCATTTCTAATTCAGAAATACATTTCAAATTGTGCAGACTTAATTTAAGGAAGTTCCACCAACACCAACAGAAACCAAGCTTGGGAAGTTTGTCTGTTCAATAATAAACCCTTGTTCAGAGCCTATTACTGAAAAAAAAAAAAAAAAAATGCCTGCAGTGTCCATCACATGTCAATTCTATCTCGGCAAATTCCATCCTGTATCCAACACATAACCAAGTTATATATTTTTAGTTATCTGCTAGTCCTGTATAAACAACTTTCATTTTCATTCAGATATTGTCAATTCTATAAGAGTGTATCTACTATGATTCCTCCATTGATTCAAACAAAGGGCTTGAGTTGGTTTTCCAAACATGACATAGGATTTTCAAATGTCAGTTTTAAAAGACAAATCATGACAGCTTTAGTCAATCATCAAGAAATAAACAATTAATGGACAAGGGAAAACATTATAGTTCATCATTGGATATTCAAATATCGGACAAATATAGGTGGAAGACATGCTAGATGCATTCATGACTAAATATCTATAGAACAATAATTCTTCTTCTCTTTCACCAACTAAAAGGAAAAACTACAAGTAATATATACAATTTACCAGGGTAAAAAATACAAGTAAGATATACAAAATGAAATATAAATTGAGAATACATATGTAAACTATTTGAGTCAAAACATTTAAGTACATAAATAGCTTCTTTGAGGCTAAAGAGCTGTTCAATACCTTCAAATAAACAACTTCCTAGTGTCTCACTGCATAGGCCACGCCATTTTTCTATTTCTTCAGGCCTGCAGCTACATTAAAGGCCATGGTTCACTGCAATGAAAGATGTTCTCTAAGTATTTCCAAATGAAACAAAAACAATGTGAATCCATAGAATATTTTATCACACTCTACCTGAAAATATGTTTGATGGCACTAATATGTAGATTTGGGTTCATCTACCCATGAGAATCACCACAATCCTTAATGCCGAAACTGCACTTTCTTGGCCTTTAAAATACCATGGTGCAATATTGTCATGGTACATGTATCTAGCTATATACCCTTAGAAGACATCTCATCAACAAGGGTTACAGCTCTATCCACGTCTCCTTGGCTGCAATAACCGCAAATGAGAGCTGTGTACGTCACTGTATCAGGTTCTAGACCTCTATCAATCATTTCGTTAAAAAGGCCAGTAGTATCCTGAAGATTAGCTGATTTACAGAAACTGTCAATCAAAACTGTGTAACAAATAACATCATATTTTAGTTCCGCATCCTTCATTTCATTCCGAAAAGTTAAAATGTCCTTTATTACTTCCTTTTTCCCTTCTGCATTTGGAAGGGATCTAGCCCTTTTCAAATTTACTTTAAAATGGCCATAAAGCAAAACCGTGTAAGTGATAACATCAGGTTTAATACCCCTTTCCCTCATATCATTGAAAAGATCATGGGCTTCCCGCAAACAATTCTCTCTGCAATAACCATTTATCATCATTGTATAGGTAATGACATCAGGAGTCAACCCTCTCCCAACCATAGTATCAAAGACCCGTTGAGCCTTTATCATACCTCTGGCCCGACAAAGAGAAGATATAAGCTTACTGTACATTATATTACAAGGGGCATCATATGAAGACAACACTGCCTCAAATAGCAAAAGGGCTTTGTCATTTTCACCTTCCATACATAAATTTGTCAGAAGTTTTAAACAAGAACTCTTTTTCAATATGATTCCTTGCCTAGAAAGCCTCTTAAAAATTTCATAGGCCTCTCTTGTGTAGTCTGCTTCGCAATATCCATTAACCATTGCAGCATAATTGTCAAAACATTTTTCTTCCAAACTATTGAAAAACATCTCGGCTTCCTTCACCTTGCCCCTTTTGCATAAGCCTTCAATGATGATGTTGTGTGTAACAGTGCTGGGTTTCAAGCCTTCTGCCCCCATATTTTTAAGAAGGTAAAGTGCTTCTCGTGCAAGGCCATTTCTAGCAAACCCACCAGCAAGAACATTGTAAGTAACAATATCAGGTTTTAAACCCATTTCTTTCATTTCCTCAAATAAATCCAACGCATCAGCAAGTTTTCCATGAAGACAGTATCCATTCATCAAAGTTGTGTAATGCACAATATCTGGAACCATGTTCCTACCCTTCATCTCAGCAAGCATCCTCAATGCTTCTTCCATTCTCCCCAATTTGCAGAAAGCATTGACCACAATATTGTAACAGACTTCATCCACGAAAATCCCCAAGTCCTTAAAGTTATTGAATTGGTCTACTGCCTTTGCAGCCAAACCCATTTGACACAAACATTGAAGGATTGGGCTAATGATCGCACAATTGGTTCTGATACCCTTTGACTCCATTTCATTATGGATAGCCAAAGCTTTAATTATATTCCCGATCTTACAGTATCCTCGAACTAATTTAGTGTAACAGTATGCATCTGGGACCAGCTCCTGTTTTTCCATATCAAATAAGACACTTTCCGCTTTTTCCAATTTCAACTCCTTGATAAACCCACGAATCAAAGTAGTATAAGCATATACATCGATTGGCACATTTACC